AAAAAAAAAAAAAAGTTTCTAAGGAACTGACCCGTGTCACATAGCTAGCAGGTCATAAACCTAAGATTAGAACCTAAGACTCCTGTCTTCCTGCCCAGGCCATTTTCATTCTCTTTTCTGCAGAATGCAGATATGAGATATACAGATAACTGCCCGTGCCTCTGAGCAGGCTCCATTTGGCCAGTCTCTTCTACGTCCATTTCCCACCTGCCCCAGAGGTTGGGCTTGGTCCAATTCATCAAACACAGTTGTTCCAAAGGAGCAGAGCTGTGGGAGCCACCTGTGCCAGTGACATTCCTGAGTCTGAGCATGCCCTGCCCTCAGAGCCTGGAGCCAGGCAGACCTCCGGGTACAACTGCACCAAGAATGCGAAAAGCAGAATGGACAAGAAGCCTTGGCAATTTGTGAAAACGCAAATCCAATCTAAGTCGACTTGTTTCAAGAAGCTTGAGCTTTAACAGTATGGATTTTGCAGGCCACGTTAGAACTGTTTGACTGACTATCTCAGCTCACCGATGACGCTGACATAGCCTACAATCTCTGTGTTATCCAGACTGATATCTCAGGGCAGGCCAAGAAATCTTCACAAAGACCCTTTTCTCAAGAGGCTCCTCTACCCTGTTTCAGGGGAGGGCTTTTATTTTGGGGGATGGGTTTCACATCTTTATCCATTTTAACTTTAAAGTAATTATTGAACGGTTTTTGAGCTTATATCTACTTCTCTGTTTTCATTTTTAAAAATTATTTATTTAGTACAGGGTCTCACTACATAGTTCAGACTCATAGTAGTGATCCTCCTGTCTCAGCCTCCCCAGTGCTGGGATTACAGGTATGCACCACCATGCCTGGTGTTGGGGGCTGGCACAGTGTGCCCAGGTTCCAGTGCCAGAACAGCATGCAGTACTGGGGACTGAACCCAGGACCTTGCACTTGCCAGACAGATGCTCAGTTCACCAAGCTATCTCCCCAGCCTGTTTTCATTTTTTAGTACTGCTTTTAATAAACAGAGAGCAACAGAGGGCAGGCCTGGTAGCTCAGTGGACTAAAGCACCTGCTTAGGCAGAGTACAGTGGCCAGGGTTTGATCCCCGATGTACTGTGCCAGCCCCACCCCCATCTCAGGGGCATGCTGAGGTGGTGATTGAGACTAGGCATAGTGCTGCGCCCCTGTAATCCCAGCACTTGGGAGGCTGAAAACAGGAGGATCACTACAAGTCTAATCTATTTAGTGAGACCCTGTAGATCCGATAGACCCTGTCCTAAATGCAGAAAAAAATAAAAGAAACAGAGAACAGTTGTTTGTAGTTGTGCAGTATGGTGTGAGGTTTTAGAATACCTATGATAATGCACAACACATGATAAACAGTGTATTTAGTATAATCATCCTCTCATGCGTTGATTATTTCTCTGTGGTAAAAGCATTCTAAAAATATTCAATAAAGTACTGTTAACGTGTGTGTGTGTGTGTGTGTGTGTGTGTGTGTGTGTGTGTGTGTTTTAGTCTAAAAGGGATTTGGGTTGGGGGTGCAGCACCCTGGAAGAACGTACACTTAGCATGCAGAAGGCCCTTGGTTCAAGTCTCAGGGCCACAAAACAAACAAACAAACAAATGAACATAAGACTTTCGGAGGTCTAACCTCAGCTCTACCCCAGAACACAGCCTCAGACCTCAGACTGCCCAGCAGCTGCCAGGGCCGAGTCCACACAGGTTTGCTATGAGAATCAAATGACCCAGAGGACATAAACGCACTTTGCCAGTTATGAGACAGCCACACACGCGGGTGCTCTGTACCGGGCGCTGCGGGGCTTGGCGCAGCATCACAAGGTGCCAATGGTTTTCCACGTCCCTGTGTTAAAGAGGCACGTGGTGCCTTGCAGTCCCTCTAATGCTTCTGAGAGAAGGTAGACTTTCTTTAGCAACGAACATGACTCAATAAATAATCTCTATTACAGTTATTTCCATATGTTTCCACCCTAACAGCTCAACCAGGCAGCAATCAAGTGAACTGTCTACACACTGCTCCACTTACTGCAATAGCCAGAAGAATGGGGGCTGGTTGTTGGGTTGTGATCTAGCAGCTGCTCCAACTACAGACCCTGTGCAGCCCTGGACAGTACAGCTCCAGGTTCAGATAAAATTGGTCTATCACTGCCCTTAGCCAAGTCCATTCTTTCTGAATGTAAATGCTGATTTTGTGCTATTCGTCCATGGAGTACCATGCGTGATCAACTACCTCCCTCATACAAACAGGAAGGAACGCCAAAAGAGGGGGTTGCCGGGGAGATGGCTCAGTGGAATAAGCGCTTCCCTGGCAAGCGCAAGGGCCTGAGTTCAATCCCCAGTTCCAGAAAAAAAAAAAAAAAAAAAGGAAAATTTCCACTCTCCTGCATTACAAGGCTTTTGAATTTTCCTTTAAATTCCATCTAGGCACAGAATTGGATTTGCTCTTCAACGAATGTATTTTTATCTATACCTGGCAAGAATCTAGCACTAAAATTACAAGATTTATTCCATTTTAATTCTATTATGAGGCATTTAACCACAAATACGCCCAAAATGAAAAGATAATTTATCATTTTGCTTGACTGAGTAACTCTCTTCAATTCAAATTCATGAATCTGTAACGCTGGGAGGAGGCTGGGTGATTAAGTGTCCGATTAGAGAAAATAGATTAACCTGGCAAACATAATAAATTTGGCTCGTAAGCAGGATGGCTTTATAAGGCTCACGATAGCTCTCCCGTGTAGACTCATGAACCACTTCCTCCAGCGATGACTCAATTGAGGTAGTTGAGGCACAGAAAGCAAATGCATGTTTATAGCTTTCTCTCTGGTACCTCAGGGAGGTATTTAAAGGCATAAGTGATTCAGTTCATAACTAAATACACACTAAATAGAGAACCTGTAAGAAAAATCATAAAAAAGTAAAGCCCAAACTCTCAAATGTTCTGGTTTCCACTTAGCTAATAACTATTTCTAGATTCCAAATTTCTAGATTATTTCTGATTCTGTCTCTCGTCTCTGTGTGTGTGTGTGTGTGTGTGTGTGTGTGTGTGTGTGTGTGTTTCTGTCTCTGTGTCTGTCTGTCTCTTTCTCTCTCTTTCCCTGCCTCTCCCAGTCCCTTCCTTCCTCGCACTTTCCTTTTTCCTCAGAAAAAAGAAAATCTCCCTGCCCAGTTTTATTTTTAAACTCCATGGCTGTGTTCAGGACACTTCTGCTGGCCTAACTGGCCTGAAAGAGAGTCAGTTGAGCCCAAGTTTGTCACGTGCACCCGAATGCTTGAATAAGAGACCTGTTCCACAGCCTGTCACTGGAGCTCCAGCAGGGTATGGGGGGGGGAGGG